TCAATCGCCTTCACATGGGATTGAACTGGTATCTTGTGATCTGACCTGTGGAGCACTAACCACTGTGCTATAGACCCTCATACAATGACTATATAGCATCTATACTGATATACTTTTGAATAGAATTTTTGAATTATACTTATCATATTTATATTATATAATTAATTAGATGATTGACACATAATGAATTTTGCAAAATCACTAAGACAGTTTAAATAAATCTCATGAAAACTTTGTTGCTCTAATATAATTAAAATAAAATCCTATATTATAAAATTATAAATGATTTATTAATGATTTACATAATTTTTATAAAATTTTTTTTTATTAATAAAAGAATTTAATTAATTAAAGGTATTTTGGCAAAAAATTATTATCACAAAAACTTATAAAAATATTAAATATAATTAACTATTTATTTATACTTTTATTATATAAAAAATTAATTTAAATTATATTAGAACAATATTGATTTCATGAGATTTAATTAAAAATTTCTTGTGATTTTATAAAATTTGCAAAATTCATTATATGTCGATCACTATTATCAATTACATGAATTATATATAATTTGAAAATTTCATTTGAAAACATATTTGTACAGGTGTTGCACAGTCACTGTATAAGTGTGGTAAGGATGTTGCACAAGTGATATATGGGGAGCATTTTTCTGTACTCCAAAATAGTAACTGAAACTCTGCTAACAAATATATGATTAATTATATTAAATACTTATCTAATATAGAAAAAATATTCACAACTAGTCTTTATTTCAAAGATATTGATAATATTTTGACAGGTTAGCTATCTTAAGAAGATTTTAATGTTTTGTTTTACAAAACAGGCAACAAACCATGTGGTGGAACAATCCTAATGAATTTACTTTATAGTTTAAGAAAGTTATTGACTTCTTATACAGTAATTCTTTTGATATATACATAACTGTATCTCAAGTTATTAAACAAAACAAATGCCTACCCATTTAAAAAAAAAGTATTATACTATATATTATATTATTGTTTTCCATAAATGGATTAATAAATGCATCACTAGCAGTTTGATTAGAGGAAAAAAAAATCAATTTTATTAATTTTGAAACATACAGTATATACCAATATTAAAATATTTTTATATTACTGTATTTAAAATTTATAATAATTAAAATTTAATATTATATAAATATAAAAAAATTAATAAAATAAACAATTTTTTTTCAATTTCAAAGCATTAATATAATATGAAATACATTTTAATATATAAAATAATCTAGCATCTTTAATCCCGGAAAATAGCTTGGGCTAACTAACTAAGTTATGCTATATTAACAAACTTTATTCACTACTATATATACTGTACTATTATTTACGAAGACCTTTGAAATTGAAATCCAATATAATTAGATAAAGTTAGTCTTTACTATGCATATAGCTCCAAGTCCAAAAGTCAGGCCAAAATCCAAATATTTAAGCAAGACTATTCATGTCTCGATTCATCTCTACCTCGCACGAATCACATTTAAACGTTTTTGAGCCACCGAGATTAAATCTTTACGAATTCACAATTCCCACACGTCTTTGATGTATACTCTATGGTGCATTCAATGACCTTTCAACCTCTGAACTCCCTTAACTTATGATGTAAGAACATCCGAAACCTGAAATGCGACCAAGCATCGCACGAGTAATCTTTGACCGAATCTTTCGCTTGTTCTTCAAAACCATCCTCGAAGACTCAAACTTGGGTAAAAGAATAATCTCGTAATTTTGACATAACCAACGGGCCAACTGATGATGACACCCATCGATTAAATTACAGATTCGTTGTATGACTCGTATCTTCTTTTTTCTCAATCGGAATCTCTTTCTCTTGTTTGTTCTTTCCAAAGCAAAATCTTTGTCGCTCAGGGTCATAGTCGACTGGCTATAAACGTGAGAACACTAGGTTATCTTTCCCCGGACATCATCTTTGTTATCGATGATATCCAAAGGAACGGAAACACACAAGTAAAAATGTCCCAGATGATTGATTCATAGTTATGTTACCCGTATTGTTGATATCTGGTAATTATTTTGAGGTAATAATATTTTTTAGGAACGCGTATTTTCCTCTGTTTCTATTCCAATCCCTAGCAATAATCGAGATGGTTTGTATGCTGTCATCATTGTCGAATCGCATACGAACGTACTTCCCTAGGGATCTCTTTTGCTCAGAGGAGTTCTTCAGTTGTGAAGCATTCATCGTTCAGGTAGTGCTTTCGTATGACGCTCATGTCGGTAATTCCACGTCCATCTCACAGTTCCCATCCACTTTCTTAGCATTTCTCTTTCTTCGGGTGTTGAGTAAATCCGTATCGTTCGTGATTTTAAACTCTGTCGTTTTCGGTTTCCAGCTAATATGAGCTCATTGTGTCTTGCTGAGAAGTTAATGATGTATAATAGGTACTTGGCAAGCTCACTGGATATGTGTCATTAACGTTGACATCCGAACCGAGTATCACGATCTTTGTACAGTTCTTGCCAAGAATCTATTCGACAAGCTCGTACGCAAATCTGTAGAGCCGATCCTTCCAGGAAACCACAACCTTCTCGATATCTCCTCGGTACGATCTTTCCAAAATGGATGTCAAACACTAGCGTTTCTAGTTGAGATCGGATCCAATGTTTCCGATGAGTTTGTAGTCTGCCATTCTTGCCTGAGGTACTCGCATTGCCTGTAAGATCCTCTTCCTGTTCCTCTGAGTTGACCTTGCGTAATGGATCTTTTTCTTTTCATTTATCCTTGATAAAATTTCATATATTTTTTTGATCTCTACTTCACGATACTTTGTTGTTGACATTATCTTGCCCAAACATATGAAAACGGTATTTATTTATATTTTATAAAGAATATTAAATCATTACAATGGAGTAATAATGATAATTCAACATTCGTTGTCATCAATAATCAGGTAATAAAATAATTACTAAAATAATTAATATTGTACCGTGAAATAAGATATTTATTATTATTTTTTTTTTGTCTGGCAAAATGATGAATCTCGATAATATAAAACCACGTGGTTAAACTTTAGAAAATAAAGTGTTGATGCTTTGTTTGTAGATGACAGCTGGAGAACGTTTCGAAAATGTCTACATTTTTTCTTACCTCATTTAAAATTTGTTACAAGGATATTGTATTAAATATAAAATCAATAGTATCCTACTTAATTTTATCTATCACTACGCCCACCACCCCGTCCGCCGCCTCTTCTACCTCTTCTGCCTCTTCCACGTCTACGAGTTCCGCCTCTCCCTCTCCCCCTACCTCGTCCTTGTCTCGCAAACCTGGAGGATTATTATTATTTTAAAAAAGGAGACGATCAGAATTAACAAATTAAATAAACATATGCTTACTTATTCTCTAATAATCCCATGATCTCCTCGTCACATAAAATACACCCTTCCAACG